CTTGCAAAGCCTACCAATATTGCGTTAGGCATATTCGGAGGTTGCTATATTCTCAGAAACTGGATTTCGTTCTTTTCTGAAAATCGCATCTTTACTCCATTTCGCATTTTTTTTCTTTCTTTCAAGATCGCAGTTTGTAAAAGCCGAAACTTTGCGGAACCTAGCCTAGATCTCGTTCATAATACTCTTCTGACATATCCTACTCATCATAGATCGACAGATATATACAAAAAAAAATAAAAGGAGTAGTCCTCTTATTTTATCTGTTGATTAGGGTCGGAGGAAAGTCTTGTTGGGTTGGTTACCTACCTACGTTTTCCCTCCCACCCACCCCTTGCATGCATCCCAGTTGGGTACAGTGCCACGTCAGCAGCACCACGTCACAGTGCCAGATCAGCAGTGCCACGTTACAGTGCCACGTCAGCAGTGCCACGTCACAGTGCCAGATCAGCAGTGCCGTGTCAGCAGTGCCAGGTCACAGTGCCACGTCAGCAGTGCCACGTCACAGTGCCAGATCAGCAGTGCCACGTCAGCAGTGCCAGGTCACAGTGCCACGTCAGCAGTGCCACGTCACAGTGCCAGATCAGCAGTGCCAGGTCACAGTGCCACGTCAGACACAGTGCCACGTAAGCAGTGCCACATCAGCAGTGCCACGTTTGACACAGAAGCAGTGCCACATCAGCAGTGCCACGTCAGAAACAGTGCCACGTCAGACAAAGTGCCACGTCAGCAACACGACGGGCCTGCCAGGGCAACTGCCCAACGAGTCCCTTGCCGCCTACAAGCAGCGTTTCCACGCTCAGATTGAGGCTGAGGAACAACGCCTGCTGGCAGCCGAGGCTGCCCGTGTACAGGCTGAAGAGGCAGCAGAAGCAGAACAGCTGCGGCTACAGGCCGATGCAGACGCAGATGCCCAGCCGCAAGGAAGCCCAGGATCTGCTGCAGCGGCATGAAGCCAACAGCATCGACAGACTCAAGTTCTGGCACTTCGAACCGAACGGCGACGAGGCAACACCGGAAGAGAAGCACAAGGAGTTCCTCTCCAAACTCGTGACGCAGTTGTTGTATGCTTGCAACTACCAACGGTCAGAGTTGGAGAGACAGTACCAGGACCTGACGCAACAGCATCAGGAGTTGGCACAGCTCCGCCGCATAGTGCAGAGCCACGAGGATGCAACTCGGGCACTCAATGCCCGATTGCTGGACCTGGAACAGGCTGTACCAGGACCAGCTGCTCGGGCTTCCAACAGTGCACCCTCTAGCCGCCAACTGGAGGACCGCGTTGACCACGTAGTGGCAATGCTCGACGACATCAGCACCTTCGCTACGCCGACCACCACCATCAGCAGTCAGCTGCATACATTGAAGACCGAGGTCCAGCAGCTGCAGACGACGAACGCGGATGGCAATCCGAAGATGTATAAGATGCCAACTTTCAATCTGGAGAGGTTCGACGACTGCTAGCAGCAGGATCCGGTCCTCTAGTGGGAAGCATTCACAATGCAACTCAGGATTCTGCCCGTAGCCAAGCATGCGTACATCGGCGCCCTGTTCCTAAACTCAAAGGGCGGATGCCAGACTTGGTTGAGCCACCTGGCAACCTCCCACGGCGTCGACGTACCAGACTTGAAGGACGTAATCACATGGGAGGAACTGACACGGCTGTGGAAGAAGCGGTTCATCGTCGACGACGCGCCAACACTCGCCATCAACCGACTGTTCACCATGTCACAGGGCAACACAGCAACACGGGACTGGCTCACGGAGTGGCAAAAGATTGCGGCTGTGCCCAATCTGAACTTACCATTCGAGCATCTACGCCGTGAGTTCTACAACAGGTCCTGTGCTGCATTGAGCCAAGCTCTTGGTGATCGCGAGCAGTACTCAACCTTCGCGGAGATCATTGACAAAGCGAGGGAGATCATCAAGACCAACAGGTCAGCTGCACACGAGAAGTCACCATGGCAGCCGACCTATGTGGAGAAGGTACGAACTGGTCCGCGACAGCAGCACTTTGCTGCAGTCCAGCAGGACAGTGGAGATAACCCAGCAGCCACTTCAGCATCAAGTGACGGAGATCAAGTGGCTGCTGTCCAGCCGCGAAGCAACAACAAGTCTCGCAACAATGGGAAGGCGAAATCCGCATCGCAGGCTGGAAATGGACAGCCAGTACAAGTTCCATGGGTCAAGTTTGGCTTGACCGAGGTGGAGTACAAGGTCCGCGGCCGCTACGACAACTGCTATTGGTGCAACAGCACCAAGCACAAGACCTCCCTGTGCCAAGATCAGGGCAAGGAGGGTGTGCGACCCCGCCTCAGCTCGGGAAACTGAGCTCCGCGGAAGGTGAGGCGACTCCACCTTCTACTCTGCCAGATTCGGCCGCCTTGCTAGCGGCCTCCTGCACATCTGGGGAGGATGCGAATGTCGCA